TTCCACTTTCATTTTATCCATTAAATCAACCATTTTTGCTCAATTGAGCCGAAACTACTGATAAATTTCAACCTGGAAATAGAGCGGACGTAGTTTTTCTTTATACGTTTGTTGTACGCACGTATTTTAGAAATTCAATTGTTCTACATATCACGGGACCGTTCTAAAAGTTGGTGACAATTATAGCAGTTCCTTTCACGTGTAAACATCAATTTAGATGGGTGATAATGCCGCCATGTTCTGCAATCACCTTTTCTGCGAACGAGCTTTGGCGAACCGATATAAACATTTAATTTATTATGGAATGAAATATCGCGAAATGTTCTTCAATTGTTCTAATTCGCTGAAAGCATGTCGGCGATTGACTTGTTTATACTTTATTTTAGAACGATTGTTAGGGCTATCTCTAAACAGCGAGTTTAAATAATGATGTGTTGTCGAAGGGTATGCGATATATTATTGTCGTAAAGACTTGGGTGAAAAAAATTATGAAAACTAATTTTAAATTTCTAGAATGGCCGCCGAGGGGAGTAATTGCATTTTTGAATTTTAAATCCCAGTTTTTTGAGATACGAGGGCAGCGCCAAATTTCCCGGTTTGAATATGAATGAAACAAAGTAGAGTAACAATTTTTCATTATTTATGTTATATTATTATTATTATTTTTCAATATAATCCCCCTTAACTTCAATACACTTATTACATATCTTTATTAACAACTCGATCCCTTTAAAAATTCTTTTGGCAAAATAAGTTAAAAACAGCCTCTCTTAACTGAACTTCGTCGTCAAACCGCAGTCCACGTAAGTCCTTTTTCAAATATCCAAACAAATAATAGTCGCTGGGGGCCATATCTGGACTATAGGGAGGATCATCTATCTGTTGAAATCCACACTCTAAAATGGCAGCTTGTGCGACACCAGCAGTATGGACAGGTGCATTATCCTGCGAAAGACGCACGGCTCTGGGCAGTTTTCCTCGACGTTTTACATCTATGCAGTCTCGCAATTTATGTAATAATGTTGGGTAATATTTACCATTGACAGTGGTATTAGTTTCTTTAAAATCTATCAAAAGTATTCCTTCAGAATCCCAAAAGATCATGGCCATCACCTTTTTTGTTGACTGGCAGACTCTGAATTTTCTTGAAGGTGCTTCACCCTTACGACGCCACTCCATTGATTCTTTTTTCGATAGAGGGTCATAATAGAGAACCATGGTTTCATCTCGCGTCACAATAGTTCTATCACAGGCTTCGGTTCCGACCCACAGAGTTCCAGAAAAGACCGCGCACACTCGACATGGCGTCGTTTTTGAATAGCCGAAAGGTTTTTAGGAACCCATCTCGCACTAACCTTATGCATACCTAAATGATCATGCAGGATTCGACGAACACTTGTATCAGAAAGCTGAGTACTTTCTGAGATTTCCTTGACCTTTAAACGTCGATTACTGAGAACCACCTCTTCTACAATCGCAACAATATCTTCCGTTATGACTTCCACTGGTCGACCAGTTCTTGAATCATCTTCAAGGAGCTCTTGCCCCATTCGAAAACGTTTTGCCTATTTGTTCACTACAGAATACGAAGGAGAAGTTTGGTCGTACACACCATCCAGTCTTTCTTTAAAAATTTTAGGTGCTAACCCTTCTTTTGTCCAAAACTTTATGACTGCTCTATACTTAATTTGCGTTATTTGCGACATTTTTTCGGACACGTCTTGTTTAAAATGCTGTCAATAAAAAACTATTTGACGCAAGACGTCAATTTTTTTTCGCAGCCTACTAAGATATATATTTAAAAGAAGACGAAGTTTTATCGTGATACTGGAGCTGCACGCGAGAAATGTTGGCGCTAACCTCGTATATTCTAATTTTACAGATAACTTAGGTGGACATCGGTGCAAAGCTAATTTCGATTCTTTTTCGTTAAATAACTTTTACATCATCCTTTAAGGGTGCATAGCGGGGTTAGCTGAATATTTTCTTAAATAAATATCAATAACTTCTATTCTTTCTCATATCATTTTCTAACCCATAATATCAATAAAATAAATAATTTCGACAGTTAAATAATTCTAACAGAAACAAATACGTTTTCAATATTTTGAAAATAAACTCTTCAACAGATGGAAAAGGCATTTTTTTTACATGTAGGGCCACCATTATAATAGGACCATTATAATTTTGGCTTTTTGCTTTCCAAAGCACAATTGGATTTTAAAAATTTCATATATCCTGTGGACAGAGTGGTAATTCAATCATAGTGAATAAGTATTCATTTTTTTTGACATTTCAAACATGATGTTGGCATTTTAACATCAAATTTATATAATACATATATTGTTCAAGGAATTAGGATTTAATAATACCGAAAATATTCCCAAAGATGTCACATTATTTCGAGTTTTTATTTCCTCTACTGATATCATAGGTTAGGAAGGAGGTATCAAAATAAATAAAAGTGATATCGTTGCATTTCATTTTTTTCTGAAGCTGTGGCCATTTATTTTCGAAAATGTTCGGACCACTTTCGAATTTATATATTTTTATTATATATTAAGATTATTTGGCAGATTTAAAATTATTGAACTGAATTTTTTATTTTTTCACTCAAAGTCTTTACGAGAGTTACTTTTCGATTCAGGGGAACCTATCCAGGAAGCGCTATAAAAATACTATTGGTAACAATTATAGTTCTTCTTTCGCGTGTAGGCATCAATTTGGATTCGAAGACCTTTAGCGAGATGACTTATTAGCTTTGATTATTTTATTCACTATAAGTTTTGTAGATCTGGTAACAGAGGCCCAGGTGCTGATTCTCATTAATTCCTAGTATTTAGTCGCTTTGTAGCTACTGCCTCGTAATACGAGTAAGATGTCTTGAAGATTTTATGTTATGTTAAAATCTCTGGGAGCTCTATGTAATTTTACATTGTCATTAACTCATAAATAATATAGGCAGTTTCCATAGGAGTAAAAAGTCACACGGCAATAGATACATTAAGATTTTTTTTTCCTAAAATTTATGTCTGTGGCTGTTTTCATTGTGGCAAAAAAATTTCCCTTTTAATAAAGAAGAAGAAATATTTTTAGGTTATTTAGAATGTTTAAAAAATGAAACAGTCTAGGGGGTTTAATTGGTTAGACGTTTTTTTAGTAACTTAGCTTTCTGACCTTGCCAAAATATTTTACCGTCTGCGGAGATTTGAATGTACGATTTTCTTTTATTTTTTTTAAACGTAAATACGAATTTCTGATTAGCCTTAGGAGTCTTTTGTAATAACTTTGTAAAACTATCGAATCAGATAATATAACAAGTTTGGATTTTCCCTTTTTTCGAAAAGGTGGTAGTTATACTTAGTAGCGGTTCCGCAAAAAACCAGTCGCCGTTGAGTAGTGAAGTGCAACGATGCGACGCGACGATCCGATACCTGATTCAAATGTTTTATTCGTCGTGTAGTCGTTTCATCAATCACGAGAAGATAATCTGCTTAACGCAGCACTATCCGCTCACCAAGCAGTGTCCGACTGGCTAGGGGGGGAATGGCGAGGCAGGAAAGGGGGGGAACGGATGGAGAACATCGCCAAGCCGAGGATAAGCCAACAACAACAGACGGTCTGGGTTGGGATGCCGAGAGTCGAATTTTGAAACCGCCAAAACGAATTATTTCACCGGTCCACCTATATATCATTATATTTTATTAGTCGGAAGACTAAATTTTTATCGTTTATTGTAGCGTTTAATTTTTCTGCTTGGGCGAAAGATTTCCCACCCGCACAGCACGATTTTTTATATATTTGTGTAGGGTGTTAACTAGAGTCGCATTGAAAAATATACAGGGTGTTATTTATAAGTGTTCGATACTCCATAGGGCAATTTTTAAGGCGAAAAGTGTGATCCGAAATGCTTCGAAATACCGCGTACCAAAGTTTCATTTACCAGGAGTTTCAAATTTCACTTCGTTTTTATTCAGTATTGGTACTGTTTAAAATTGTTGAAAAATAGTGTTTATTGATCAAAAAAATATATTTTATAAAATTATTTCAATTTTTTAAAAACACATTCCTCGATTAATTCAAACCAAGATGTTTCGAAAGTGGTTGCTCGACGACATGTAATAAATGCTCAAGGAATTCTATTTTTAGCAGAAATGTGAATGGAATGTGAGTAGCAACCAGCTAAATTAAGAAAAAAAAATCAAATTTCATTCAAATTATCAAGCAATTTCTGCAAAAAAAGAACTCTGTATATCGAAAACGAAACCTTTCGGGCCATACTTCTTACCTTAAAAATATTTAGGAAATCTAAATAGATATTCGACAATGGAAAACCATTTTCGAAAATGTTTCAGAAAAGGCTTTGTGAAATCCTTTATTATTTGTTGCCATTTATATTCTTTTCTGTACAATTTTGAGATTTTGGTTATTTGTTACTTAAAAATAAACATCGAAATAAACTAAAATGTTTGGATATTGTTTTCCAACTTGTTTAAAGTTTAAAAGATATATCGTTAAAAATTACATAAAATTCTTGACTGCCGCTTTAACATTAACCCCTACAGATAAGTACGCAAACTTCAATGTAAAAAAATAACCCTGCAATACTATTCAAAGTATAATTTTTAGTGATTGGGTCATTTTCATAATATATATTTCTTAATTTTATATCTTCATTAATAACTGATATTAAAATTTATCTCTTTCCATAATATAATGTTTTGGTTAAGTCTTTAACTATGGATTCATACTATTTAAATAAAGTTTGAAATAAACATAAACTGTGGCCTGCAAAATTTTTGTTTTTTCATTTAAGAGGATTTTTTTTATTTATCCCAAAAAAAACTTAAACTCTTTGTACGGAGCTTTAATATGATTAGATGTTTTGGCGATATTTTTGGTAAAATAAAATTACGTTTCTGCGATCCTGTTAGCGATATACTTCTTGTATATCTGTGCTAACCACCAAATGTTTACACTGCGAGTGTATCCAGACTCACCTATTGACGATTCTTCCTTGATCGAATGCGGAGATATGGTATTTTCTAATGGAGTGGAAGTCGGTTGAGGAGTAGAAGTTCTTTCTGCCGAGTCTCTGCTTGTCCTTCCCGCCGAAGGTGGTGGCGTCTTATTATTTCTCGTCAGTGCAAGAGCTTGGCTCTGCAAAGAAAAAATCAATTTTTCCTTAATTTAGTTTTAATGAAAATAAGAATAGGGAAAAACATAGGAAGTGAGGGAAACGCTTTTAACCCTTAATAAACCCCGATTGTACGGCATAAATAGAGCCAATTACGGTCGGGGGTATTATGTGGTTTTAATTGAAATTGGGACAGGGCATAAAGGCGTAAAATTTAGAAAGCCCGTTGGTTATATAAATCTGGCCCGCCGTTAGTCTATTATATTATAGCCGCGTCTAATCTGGGTTAAGTGGGGTCAAAAAGCATATGAATTCCTAAATACAGCATCTGATTTGCGCTTCTGCAGGAAATAGACGACCGACTCGCAAATAAAAAACACGTAAGGTGTTACTACTACTACTAAATGTTGATATATTTAATTCTGAAGTTAGTCGACAGCTAATATTTTTATTGTTCATGCAACCTAGATTATTAATTTTACTTCCTCTGAGTCGCAACCCTTGTAAAGTCTGCGGTAGCGTGAAATTGAGTAAGTGGTAGAAATTTATTAAGGGATAAAGATAATCAAAAAATCACTGATTTTTCACTGTTAACTATTAAGTATTTATTCACCATTATATTGTTAGTACCTATGATAGAAATAGATGACATGATATTATTAAGGTTAAAGCGACTAACGTGAAATCATAATTTTAATTTTAGTTTTCCAAAAATAATCCTTTCAACCAAAAAAGAAAAAAATTTCATGTACTCTCTGTAAACATTGAAAACCGCAGGAGGGTGTGTCACAGGGTTAGATTCTGGTCGGTTTACACTATCTGCCAACAACCACTGCGATGGTTTTATTATGGGTTTGATCTCTCAGTATACTGATAACTGGAATCATTATTGTTGTCACCAAGGATCCAAGATTCTTCTGGAGGTTTTTAAGAAACATTGCTTGCTCGATATTAAACCCTAAAAATGTCAGTTGCTATTGTTTGGAAGTACAGCTTTAATAACACAATTTTCAAAACAATTAAACATTACTCTGGGTAGAGAAACTGTGGATAGTCCCAACGACGCTAGGGATTTGAGTTTGGTAATGGACGACGAGTTCAGATTTACAAAACATTGAAATTTCTATTTACAAAGCACTTTATAATAAAGTAACATCTTCCAAACCTCCAGGATATTTATATCAAAAAATAACACTTAGACATGGTGCCCATAACCTGGATCTAAGATATAATAATAATAATAAATAGCTTTATTACTTTAACCATTAATAAAAATAACATTAACAGAAATAAAATTCGTGGCAAAGAGCTAAGAAAGTTACAAATTTGGCATTAATTTAAAAGAGAGACAGAGAAGCAGACAACGCTTGGAGCGGGGGTGGGGGGGAATTAAGGACAATGAGTTATCTGCTTGCCCAAAAGACAATTTTTAAACTTATTTTTCATGTTCAATAGCGTCAGAGAAACACACATTGAATCATTTTGTATAAAACCCTTATACAAAGCGTTTAGTTGCCATGTCTACGGGTCTTCCAAATAAAGTATCGAACAGCTTTAAATTGAATAAGGATAATATTTTTTTGCGTTATATATTGAAATAATTGTTTTTTTTTAGTCTATGTGTGTCGATCTTATAAATTTGGTTAGATTAGGAATGGTATAGATAGTAAGCTAAGCTTCACTTTTGCTTTTTTCATTATTATCACTTTTTACAGAACTTCTGGATTCCTCCTGAGTCGAACTTCCTGACGTTTCGTCAATCATCCTGTCGGCTTCTTCAGAGCTTGACTGAAACTGTCCAGTCCAATTTCAGTCAAGCTCTGAAGAAGATTGTAAAAAGTATTACAGTAGCCTGTGGAAGTTTCTTTGACAAATTAACATACGTTATTATTATTTTCATTACTAATTATTAGCTCTCCTTTAATGAATAGTGAAATAATGTTATGTATTCTAATCCATTTCAATGTATAATTTTTTTGAGTGCATATTGTAGGTCATAAAGAAATTAGTATTAATTATTATTTGAAGAAAACGATATTGACATTTCCTATCGGTTCAACATTATCAATTCGGTTTGGAACAAGTCGTATCGTTTAGTTGGCGATAATGTGTGTACGAGTCGCGTGTGATTATTACCAAGTCATCTTGTTCATGCACATTTCAGCTTGGGAACCTTGGGTGTTTCACGTCCATGCGGGTCGATGCTCTTATTCGAAGATTGCATACTTCCACATAAAACGCGCGGCAGTTTTTGCACGGTGTTTCGCAGAATTTTCGAGTATATAAGCTTTCCTGTCAGTCATTTTTGCGTGGCATCAAACCCGATACGGATTCTTCGGCAAAGTTATTTCGTTGCGGAGCGACTCGGTTCGATTTCGTAAGGGCCCTCTCCAGGTTTTTGCATAATTCCGTATGTTGTTACAAGTCAAAGATTAAAGTAGCTTTATTTTAATGTCGAAAACGCTGTATATCACGCTAATCCCTATCTAAAAATCCAGTTAAATATTCGTGTTTAATTAGCGAGAATAAACAAGAGATAATAAACGATGTTTATTTTAAAATTAGAATACCTAATCCGTCAAGTAGACTCGAAAAACGACCCTGCGAAAGATTATTTTTATAAATACAACTATACGACAGAGTTCGCGATTGTTGATCAGCTTAGTTAATAATTTCAAAGACTGAGAATGCTTGGGGCTTAAAAATCGGGCACACAAATGCTTGTTATATAGGGATTAAAGGTATTATGAGTCATGCAGATCTTCTTATATCTGTGGAGTTGCTTGCCATGCCGCGTTCCGAATAAAAAGGGGGGAATCTAAGGATATAAAGCAGTGAGTGGTAGGGTTATATGACCTTACGGAGGTTTTTAAGGATCTCTTGGATGTCCTTTGAATCGCTTTTCCGTTGTTTTTCTATTAAATGTCTTTGTTTACGCCACTAACCCTGGTTTAACGTTTGATGCGGGAATGCAACAGAAATATTTGAGATCAAATGGTTGAATAGCACTTACGAAAGATATTAAATTCTACAAGTGAACGTCTGTGCACCATGGAGCACAATTTTGAAGTGCGCTGACTTTTTTAACCAGCTTTTAAAAAGAAGTCAAACAAAGCGTGACCACAATAGCTTAGTTAAATCTACATCGTTATAAAAGTATTTATATCAACAGGTAGGCACCTCAACCAACCAAAACTATGCCAAGTCAAACTGATTGACTTTTCACAACAAGTTTTTAATTATTTCGACCACAAAATTAAATCATATGTTATTATCTATCACAAATATTAGGATACATTTGAATGAATGAATGACACTTTTCTTTACTTGTGCAATGGCAAATAGCATTTAATGTAATGAACTATTAATTTTTTAGGATTATCAAGTTTTTTCAAGTAGCACCCTAGTAGGAACAAAAACTTTTTAAAACCGGTACTTTTTTTGCAACATTTCGACGCCAAACTTTTCAAAATCAAGCTCACAGGAAGGAAAAAACGAGATAAGTACATACATTTTTATAAAAACACAATATTACGTAGGTGACTTTGTTTCTATTCATTATTAATTATCAAGTCAGTAAGATTAAAAATGCAGAAGAAATTATCGACAAGCTCATGCAGTGGAAAGAAAAAAACAGATTAGCATTTAAAAAAAAAATAAATTCAAGAGAGAGAGTTTATTCTGAGATTCAACGATTAAATTTTTTTGTTGAAAGTGTTTTATTATGGTAAAAAGTTGATATGCTTTTGGAATACGGCGATACAGTCAACAACTAACGTAAGTATTGTATGTATGCGTACGTCGTAAGCTACAAGCACTTTTTACCGGATACTCAGAAGAACAAATCTGTCACTTTGTGAGATTATTCAACAGAATATTTTGATAATCTGTTAGAAAATAAAACCTCAACAATGTCGGTAGAATCGATTTGAAAGTGGTATATCGACGTGTGTTACTGGAAGACAAGTTTTACATTGACACAAAACATGACATTCATTCATTTTGGAACTAGAGTTTTGTATTTATTTCAATTAACAAAGTGCGATAGTTATTTTCTTAATAAGGAATTTATTTTAAGTTGAAACTTTCATAGAATGTTTTCAAAATATCCGCTTTGCGTGCGCCACTCCCTAGGTCTAGAAATTACATTCGCTGTAACCCTTCCTGACATTTCTTGAGTTATACTATACTATGGAATGCAGCCGATATTCTCTGCTGTAATTCGACAAAATCGAAAACCGTCCTATCCTACGTAGTTACTGTCGTTTCCGCTCAAACCGGAAGTGCACCCATTGACTATATATTGTCAAAACATTGGACATTCAGCCTATATTAACCCTTCCAAATTTCAGATCGCTATCTCAAGCCGTTTAATAGTTATAGTGTTCCCACTTTCTTGTGTCACCCGGTATAGTTTATTAAGTAAGACTTAAGCAATCAAAACTAATTTTATTTGAATTTTGAGTTTGACCGATAGCTTTAATCTGTAACCGCATCAAAAGGTGAAAACTTAGACCCAGACTCAGATTTATTTAGTCCTTATAGTCTTATAAGTGATTAAAACAAATGTGAAATCGATTGTTAAATTAGATTGGTTGATATAGGAAATTCTATTTTTATTTTTTGAAAAATTTTGTACTTTTTTATTTTCTAAAATATTTGCGAAAATAAAAAAAATCCTGTCGCTCGCGTAGTAACTAATTTTTAAAATTCCAAAATAAATCATATCCATTTCTGCATTACTTGCTATGCTACGCACCGAAAGTCGTAATCTCAATTAAAATAAAAATTGCGATAAGCATAAACGCTTGTGTCAAACAGTAGTGAATAAACTTAATGCCACTTCAAATCCGGAATATGCTACCTGGTCGTTCCTAGTCGCATCAGAACAACATAAAGCAGTCATAAAGTTTTTGACAAAAGAACGGTTAGCACCTAAAATTATTAAAGAAAGACTGGATGATGCATACGGCCAAAGTTGTCCTTCGTATTCTGTAGTGAAAGAATGTTCAAAGCGTTTTCG